TATAAAAATATTTAATATTAAGTATAATTTTAATAAAGATACGGTTTTTAATAAAATAATATACGTTTAGATACGGCGCGTTATTAATTAAAGTATTTAATATAATAAAGAATTAACGGACCTTTTTAATATTATTATTATTTAATTAATAAAAGTTTAAGTTAAAAACGACCGTAATATTATCGAGATATAAAAAATATTTAATGCTATATTTAAAAAATTTAAAAATGAATATTAAAAAATTTAAAACTTTACTAATTAAATAAATATATTCTAAAATATTATTAATATCGTTATTACCCTTTTTTAATAAAAAACAATAAAAGTTTAAATTTAATATATTTATTATTTTTAATAAGATTTTTAGAACTTTAAAAGGATTTTTAATTTAAATTAGAAACTTTTAAAATTTTTATTAAAAAGATTTTAATAATAAAATCGAGAAGATCGTATATATCGTTAGTTTTTTTAAAAAAAACGAGCTTTTAAATAGTTTAAACTTTTTTAAAAAAAAAATTTTAAAAAAAAAACCTTTAATAAATGTTTTATTAAAATACGAGATATTTATTATAATTTCGATAAGTTTAAAAGAGTTTTTAAATTATTTTTTTAAAATTTAAATAAAAAACGATAAGTCGAGCGCGATATATTATAACTTTGATAAATTAAATTAACAAAGGATTACTTAGTTAAGTTTAAACGCCTTAATATTTAATTTAATTTTATTAATAATATTAAGATTTTTATATTTTATTAAGGATTAAAAAATAAGGTTAAGGACGAACTTATTAAAATCGATAAATTAAACGATTTTTTTTAATATATTAAATTTATAATTAAAATCGATAACCGTTTTTATAAAAAAAAAATAACGATAAGAACTTAACTTAAAACGTAAATATTAATAATAACTTTAACGTAATTTTAATTAAAAATACCGTTATAATAAAAATAATAATCCTTAATAAACTACCGCTTATAAATAATATAATAGATTTATAAATTTTAATATAATAAAATAAAACTAATCTTATTAAAAAAAAGAATTTAAATATTATAATTACGATAAGTTAAAATATATAATTAGAGATTATAAATAGCTTAAACGAATTTAATAACGACTTATTCTTAAGAAATAGTTTAATATTACCTCTAAAGAAATACTTTATAAATTACTCTTTTAAACTATATATTACGATAATAACTACTTTATTTTTTAAAATAATAAGGAATAATTAAAATAGTATTTTAAAAAAACCCTTTAATAAAACCCTTATTATAATAAATAAATAAAAAATAGTTTAACGCCTTAAGACTATCGAAAACTATAATAAGGAGTATATTTAAATATTATTAATAATATACGAAGTAGTTAGGGCATAACCTATTAGCTTTCTTAATTAAGCGTAAACCTTTGCGATAATAAGAAATAAATTAAAAAAAAATAATAATTAAAAATAAAAACGACTTACTTTAACTAAAAAATAAAATCCTAGCTCGTAAAATATAAATTTTAAGTAAATTTATTTATATAATACGACAAGTATTTAATAAAATAATCTAATATTACGAATAACGCTTTTTAATAATAAAAAATTATAATAAAAACTATATCCGTATCTTAGCTAACTATTACAAAACTAACTAATTACTAAAAAAAAAACGATTAAATATAAAAGTAATACTGGCCTTATTTTAATAACTACTCTAGAGATGATTAAAAATTAAAATAAAAAAAGACTTTTTTTAATTAAAATACGAAATTAATAAAAAAATAGATATTATATATCTAGTTTATAGATTTTAAATATTAAAAGAACGTTATTAATAACGTATTAAAGAACTAAGCGAGGCTTATTATATAGTAAACATTTATATTTTTTAAGATTTAATTATAAAAACGGTCCTTATTATTTTATAATAATGAATAAATAAATAATTTAAAATAATAATAAAAAATAATATACTCCGACTAAAATAAAACTTTTTTATATTTAAAAAAAGCGCTAAACTAGATAATTTAAATAAAAAAACTACCGACGATATATTTATAGAATTTAATATTAAGGGATTAAATTACGACCCCTTCTTAAATAATATTAATATATTAAATTACGAATAGTTAATAAGTTAATAATTATTTTATAACTCGGACGAACCTTACGACGTCGCTTAATAACGTATTTAATTAAAAATCGATTATAAAATACTATTTAATATTAACGATTTTACTATTAAAAAAAAACCGATTTAGATAAGTAGTTAAAATAATAAGAATCTATAAGTTTTTAAAAAGAACTAAATTAATTTACTAAGGACTTAAAAAACTATTTATATAACCGATATATTCTAAACATATAATCTAATATTAAAATACTTAGAAATTATAAATTATTTCTTAAAGGGAAAGAACCTATTAATAAAGAAATAAACGATATTTACGATATTATTAACGTATTATATTTACTTATTAAAAAATAAAAGCGTCCTAATTTAATAATTAATTATAAACGATTTATAAAAAAAAATAAATACTAGCCCTCGAGATATTAAAAAACTAAGTACGTTAATTATAAAAAAATAACAAAAAGTAGTTAAAATAAATAAGTTTTTATATTTTATAATATTCCCTAATAAAGAATATTTACGATTTAAATTTTAAATAAATAAATACGATATAAACGCTATTATTAATAACGGCGCTTAAGGAATTTTTATTTTATTAAAAATAGTAAATAAATATAAATTATTATAAGTATAGAAAACGAACCTATATACTTTATAAACGGTAAAAAGAGAATAAATTAATTATAATAACGGATATATTAATTAAGAGACTATATATTTTATAATATATATTAATAATTAATTAAAGTAATTAAAATACGATATTATAAAGATTAGAAATACCGACGTTATCTTAAGAATCTTATAATTACGAAAATATAATCTATAAATAAATTAAAAAACCGGCTAATTTTATTAAATAGACTTAATTATTAAACGACTTAAAGAAAAAAGTTTAAATAAGTTTTATATAATACTTAATAAATAAAAATAAATTAAATATATCGCTTTTATTAAAACGATAAAACTTATTAAAATATTCATACTTAATATAAACGATCGAAAATCGGACTTATTTTAAATTATATTTAAAAAATATTAGATTTATATAAAATTATTCGTTTTAAAAGAAAAAATAGGACTATTAAAATATAATAACTAAAATATAAAAATCGAATTAAAAAAAAGAATATAATTTAAGTTTTATTTATTATATTTTATAAATTAATTTAAATATAACGAACTCGACGAGTATGTCGACGATAAATTTAAAAAAAGTTATATTAAACTATTATCTTTTTTAATAAGAGTATTAATTTTTTTATACTTAAAAAAAATAGAAAGAAATTTAGATTTATAATCGATTATAAAGGATTTAATAAAATTATTAAAAAGAATTACTATTTATTACTTTTTATTATGAAACTTAAAAAAATATTATACAGAGCCTAATAATTTATTATAATAGATTTTAAAAAAGTATTTAATTAAATTAAAATTAAAAAAAAAGACGAATAAAAAACGGTATTTTAAACTTATAAAAGACTTTATAAGTATTTAATTATACTTTTCGGACTTATTAACGTACCTATTATATTTTAAATAATAATTAATTACGTATTTAAAGAGTACGTTGATATTTTATAATCGTTTATTTCGACGATATTTTTATTTTCTTTTTTAATTTTAAAACGTATAAAAAATACGTTTATATAGTATTTTAAAAATTTTAAAATATAAAACTTTTCGTTAAGCCTAATAAATACGAATTTTATATATAAAAAATAGATTTCTTTAGCTATATAATTACGCTAAAATAAATTTATATATAAGTATTTAAAATAATAGTAATTAAGGATTAACTTATATTTATTAATATTAAAGATATATAATTATTTTTAAAATTTGTTAATTTCTATCGACGATTTTTTAAAAACTATATTAATATTATTAAACTTTTTAATAATTTAATTTAAAAAAATATTATTTTTATTTAAAATAAAAAAATATAAAAAAGCTTTTAATAAAGTTAAAGACTTAGTTATTTCGAAATTAATTATTATAATTCTAGACCTTTAAATACTATTTAAAATTAAAACCGACGCCTCGGACTTCGCTATAAAAATTATCTTAAAATAACGAAATTAATAAAAAAACCTTTATTTTTATATATTTTATTCTAAAGTTTTTTATAAAGCGGAATTAAATTAGTAAATTTATAATAAAAAATTAATAATTATAATTAAAGCTTTTAAAAAATAAAAACTATAACTTTTAAAAACTAAATATAAAATTATCGTTTATATAAATTATAAAAACTTTACGAATTTTATAATAAATAAAAATCTAAATAAATAATAAATTAAATAAAACGAATTCTTATTTAAATTTAATTTTTAAATCGTTTATTAAAAAAGTTTAGATAATAATAAAGCGGACGTTTTTAATAAACGATTTAATTATAAAATTACGGTCTATAAGGAAATATAAGTAATTTTTAAATATAATAATAATAATAATCTTATATTTATTACGAAACTTTTTATAATAATTAAAAGAACTAAAGCTAGCCCGTTTAAAAAAATAACTCTTAAACTTATTATAAAAGTTTATAATATTTAAATATATGGTTATTAAGGTATTATAAAAATATAAAAACGGATTTAATAATATTATAATAAATCCGTTACGAAAGTAGAGGTTATTAAAATTATTAAAAACTATAATATTTATAAAAAAAAAATAGCCCTTATAAGCTTTATAAAAAGCTATAATTATTATTAACGCCATTAAAAGTATAATATTCAATTTTTTAGGACTTTATTACTAAACTATTAAAATTTCAAAAATTACTTACGAATATATAATACGATAATATTTTAATTATCGTCGACCGACGTAGTAAATTTACTTATTTTATATTATATAAAGAAATGAGTAATACTAAAGAACTAATATATACTTTTTTTAAAATAATTATTATTAATTATAATTTACCTAAGGAAATAGTTTTTAATAAAAATAAGCTATTTACTACTAAATTTTAAAGATTATTCATTTCGTAACTTAATATAAATTATAAATTATCAACCTCTTTTTATTTATAAATTAATAAATAAATAAAAAGAATTAATTAAATTTTTAAAATATACCTCCGTTATTATATAAATTATAATTAAGATAATTAAGTATTATTATTATTAATAGGTTAACGTATATACATAGCGAATCGCCTATTATAGCGAGTCGCCCACTTCTAAATACCCTCCTATTATTTATATAAATTAATTAAGCCATATCGTATAAAATTAATTAAAACTACTTATTAGCCTCTTTTTTAAAAGTCTCTTAAATTACTTAATATATTTATATATTATATTTAATTTTTCCGTAATTACCGTATTACTACCTATACGATTTAACCCCTTTTATATAAATATTCTTTTAATATATATTTTCGCCTTTAATATTAATAACCCCTTTTTTTATTCGGATTACCTTGGCCTTAATAATATTAAATAAGCCTCTAAGACGTAGTTATGTTTTTTTATCCCTCCGGCGTTTATTTAATATCTTATTTATCGTACGAAGCCTACGGTATTTAATTTTAATAAGAGCTAGTTTATATATTAATTTATTAATACTTTTGGCTTATAAATTAATAATTTTATATAAATATATTAATAAGCTATATTAATAGTTATAAATCCGTTTTTTAAATAAAATAGAGCTTTGTACGGCGTTATATATTATAGGTAATATCTTTAGGTCCTAAGAGCCTTAGCTATTTAAATATAAATTAAATAGTATTAGCGTTTTTAGTTTGAAATCTAAATAAAAAATAACTATTTTTAAATTAAAAAGTATAATTTTAGCTTATTTAAAACCAGCTCGTACGTTTTTTTTACTTATTAAAATAAAAAAGGCTATTTTAAAAATAAAAAAGAAGTCGTTTTTAGTAATATACGTAATTTATATCCGTATTATTTTTTCGATTTTTTTATTATATAAAGCTTTTAATAAATTAAAATAATTAATATTAAAAGGCTAAAGCTCGTACGATAAATAAAGAGGTATATAAAAAGCGATAATACTACGCTTTTTATAATAATTATCGAATTTAATTAATTTATAACTATTATAGCTATTAAGGATTAAGAACCGTTTAATACTTTTTATATAAAACTTTATATATTTTTTAAAATATTCTAACTAATTTAAACCGATTTTATTTATAATCTATTTATTTTTATTAAAATAGATATATTATTTGGGAAGGAATTAATTATTAATATATTATAAAAAAAAGTAATATTTACTTTTTATAATAACGTATAAAAGCAGCGCCTAGCTATTTATATATATACCTTAAATAATAAAAACCTATTTTTAATTATTAAACTATTTCGTATAAAGCCTTTTATAACGATTAAAAGTTATAATAACTTTTATATATAAAAATATTCTTATTAAAAAGCCCGTTTTATTAAAATTATAAATATTATAATTATATATTCCGTACTTCGTAATTATATTTTATATAAAGGTAAACTAGGCTTAGATAATTATAAAATCTTTAATTAATACCTTTTAATAATCGATTTTATATTAAAAACGCGTTTTTAATTATAATTAATATTATATAAAGTTCTTTATTTATTATAGTCCGATATACGTCGCATTATATTTAATAAAAAGGTAATCGGTTATATTTCGTATATTATTAAGTTATAATAAAAATCTTTAATTAATTAGGTTAATAACTCGTTTAAAAATTACGGTTTTTTTTAAAAAAGTTATCTTTTTTAAATTTATATAAGTTTTATATTAAAGTAATAAGCTAGCGCGTCGGTCGCGAAATATTATTTTTAAAATATTATAAATAAAGGCTATTTTTTATATAAATAAATTTAAATCTTTTTTAATAATTTAAAATATAAAGATAATACGACTTTTATTTAAAAAAGAATTTATAATCGTACGTAAAAAAAAATAGTTATTAAGATAAAAGGTATAGAAGGAAAGGAAAGTAGGCGACTCGCTATAATAGGCGACTCGCTATGTATATACGTTAGTTTATATATAATAATATAATTAGTAAAAGTATAAAAGAATCCCTTTTTTATTTTAATTACGGATTTTAATTAATTATATATAAAGAAGTACGTAAAGGACTATAGGTTATAAAAGCTATAATAGACGTAAATAAACTTAAGAAAATCTAAAAAGAAGCCTTTTTAGATTTTAAATTTATATAATAATATATAAAAAAATACGCCGATAAATTAAAAATTAATAAACTAATTTAAAAAAAGATAATATATATTTCTTTTACTATAATATTAAAACGAAAATATTAAATAATAAATTAGATTATAAAAAACTTAGACTTTTCGAAATTATTAAAAAAGTTTTATTAATTAATTTTAAATTAAAACTCTTAAATACGATACGATATTATTTAGTTTTTTATATTTTATTCCTTAAGCCGGTACCTAAAAGTTTATATATAAGAGATCGTATTATAGTTAAACCTAATAAACTTAAGAATAAAATCAAATAAATTATCGATTACCGAATTTAAAAAGGATATTAAAAACATCTTATTAAATAGAAAGACTATAAATATGAAAATAATATATAAGAACCCGTTACGAACTTTTAAAACTCCTAGTAATTTTTTAAAAATTATTAAAAAACGGAATTAATAGTTTTAAAAATACGAACTCGTTACTAAGCTTGAAAAAGGATTAATTTATATTATTAAAAACCTATATAAATTATAATTCTTTAACTATTTTACACTTATATATATTTAATATAAACTTTAAGGTATCGGATTTATTTATTTTTTATATCCCTTAAAAAAAAGTCTTAGCCTAACGATCCCGTATTAACTTCCGAATTTTTTAAATATAAAATAAGTAATTGATAATAATCACTATTAATAATTAAAAACGGACTAACTTTTTATAAAATTTTAGGAATTCTTTACCCACTTTCTTTTCTTTTTTTTACTTTATTCTTTTTACTAAATATTAAGTTTTTAAATTATAATTATTAACGATTACGAATATAATAAATAATAAAAAATTAGTTTATAAGTTAATATTATTAATACCGCGTCGTAAGGCTTTTTCGCTTTTATATAAATCCGATAATAAAAAAACCTTTTACTAAATTAATTCGTAACCTTAATACAAAAATAATAAGTATAAAGTATATCGGTATTAACTAAATAAATTTCAATAAATTTTAAAAATACTAAACGCTTACGATCTTTTATTTTTATTTTTTTAGATTTTATTTTAATACTCGATTTTTCTATGCGATTTAATATAATATTAATATTATAAAAAATAATAAATTAATGACTTAATAAGCCTTAACTTAGGCTACGAATATTTATTTAGAAGTCTACGTAACTAGAGTTTTAAAAAAGAGACTTAGAATTACGATTTAATATATATAATAAACTAGGGACTTACCCCGCTGCTTTACGGCGGCTACCTCGCTATATATATAATTAAATAATAAAAATATATATATTATTTTAATAAATTAAAAGAATTATAAAGAAGTTACGTAATAATAAAAAGGAATAATAGACAATAAACGGTTTTTAAATATAAACCGATAAAATAAAAATCGGTTTACTTTTAAAAAACCGACTTTATAATATCGGTTTTAAATATAAAAGAATTATTTAACGATATATAAGATTTATATATAATATAAACTTAAACTAAGTTTACGTTTATAACTTTTATAGTTTTTTTTATAATTAATTTTATATTAAATTTTACGATCGTTTTTAGCTATCTTTATTAAGAACTTATTTAATAAGATTATAATTAATTATTAAAGTTTTACTTACCTCACGACTTATAAATAATAGCTTCTTTAAAGCTATTTTTATAACGACTATTATTTATGAGTATCGTAGCCCCGACTTTTATTAATACAAACCTTATTACGACTAGTTAGCCGTAATACTTTATATATTTTTAAATCGCTTATAAATAATAATATAGTTAAATAAAAATTATTTATAAAATCGAATTTCTTAACTGTATTTTTTATATAAGGGTTATATATAAAATAAATTTTTTTATTTTTTTTATTTTATATAATCCGAACTTTTAAATCATATTCTATAAGTCTTTTACTTTATAATTTATATATTATTTTTATAATATTAATAATAATAATTATATATTATTTATAATTTTTATAAAAGAGTATAAAAATATTATTTATATAGAAAATAATAATAAATTTATAATTTAAATTTTCATATATATAAAGATTTTTAATTATTAAAAATAAGCCTAAGCTTTTAAATATATTTAAAAACGTTTTATATTATTAATAAAACGTATTACAAAGTTTATATAAAGTTTTTTTAAATTAAACGTATTTTTTATTAATTTTAAATCTATTTAGAAATTTATAAATAATTAATTCGTTATACGTATTAACTTCCGTATTTAAGAAGGCGTTTATAATATTATATTAAAATAACTTTAAATTAAATTACGTTATTAAAGCTATTATTGGTTTAAAAGTTTTAGTTATAAGTATTATTATATATATATTATAAATTATAACGAATTATAAATCGTTATAAATATAAATTTACATTTTATAATATTTAAATTTATAATATTAATCGAGTTTATATATAAATACTTATTTTAATAAAAATAACTTTATACACGCTTTTAAATAATTAATAACCGTTTAGGTTTTTTTTTTTTAATTTTTTTAATTTTTTATAAACTATTTTAATAAAAAGCTTTTATAAATAATTCAAAAATTTAAAAAGTTCTTTTCAACTTTTTAAAATTTTTAAAAGATTATTAATATATATTACTTTTTAATTAGTAATTATATTACGTTTAATTTAATTATTTTATACTACGGTTTATAATATTTTATAAAATATATAATATATAAAATTATAATTATAATATTATATTTCTTAATTAAAAAAATAAATTTATAAAAGATCTTAATTTAAGCCGTTTAGAAATTCGTTTTTTATATTTTCTAATTACTTAGCGAAATTATATATAATTATAAAATTTATTATCGTTTTTTAGATCCGTATATTTTTATATATAAGCGGCTTATATATTTCTATTATTTCTTTTTACTTTTTTTTTAATATAATTTATTAAAATAATATTAATAACTATACTTTTAATTCGCTCAGCCTTTTTTATAATATTAAATCCGGGTATTCGATTCTATTATTATTATTAAATATTATTTTTAAATTATTAATTATTTATATGTTTTATAATATAATTCTTAAGCTTTTAATTTTTATAATAGTTAGTTTTTTATTTATAATTATTAATATACTTTCGGTATTAAAAGTTTATTTAAAAATTACTAATTCTCTTTTTTTTTAAAAAGCTATTTTAAATATTTTAATATTCCTTTTTAAGTTATTTTATAAATAAATTAAAGCGCCTATTATTTAAAATACTATTTAAATTATTTTTCCTTTACTTAATTAAGCGATTTTTAAATTATATTTTAACGTGGTAAGATATTATAAAAGAATATTTTTATTAATATATATTTATCTTATAAGCTTTTTAAAAGTTTAGTTATTAACTTTATTTTAATATTTTTAATAATCGCTTTTTTTTTTATATACTTACCTTTTTTTATTAGTTTTTTTATATATATAAAAAGGAGTTTAAAATCAATCTTTTTATTTTTTATTTATATTTAAAATAGGGTTTTTTTACGTATAGCGATTACTATTTTTTTATTATTTATACGGATTTTATAAATTATTAAGCTTTATTAACAGCATATTTAAAGTTTAAAAACTTTTACGATTTTAAAAATTAATTTTATTTATTTACTTTTTAAAAAGAATTTAAAAAGCTTTATAAAATATTTATTTTTAATTATAAATAATTAAAAATAGTTTTTAAAAGATTTTAAAAAGTCGAAAAAGTTTTAAAATATACGGTAATATAGTTTTAAAGCTCGATTTTTTAAAAAAGATTTAAAGATTATTTTTTATATATATATAAAAACGTAATACTTATATTTTATTTTTAATAACTTTTTTATATTTACTTTTTAAACGCTACGGATTAAATTTTAAAAAGTTTTTAATTTTAAATAGTTAGTTTAGAAATATTAAATTATTACGTTATTTATTTTATTTATATAAGCTATATTAAAATCGGGTTTATAATATAATAAAATATTAAATTAAACCGTTATTATAAAATATTAAAAACTTATTAATATTAAAAAGTAAGCTATAAGGTAATAAATAATAAACTTATATTTAAAAAAAATAAAATTATCTTTTTTAAATAGTTAAGTTATTATTATATTCTTATTTATATTTTTAAAACATAAAATCGTATCGAAGCCGTAATATTAAATTTTTATTTTTAATAAGCATATTTTAAAAACGATATTAATATAAAAACTTTTTATAATAGCGACGTTTTTTAAAATAAAATCCTTAATATTAAAGCCTTTTTTATTATAAAAAGCTTTTTTAAAAACCTTAGTATTTATTTTTATAATATAAATACGGGTAATACCCGCTTTTATAAATTTACTTTTTAAATAAAGTTTATAAAAACCTTTTTTTAATAAGGCCTTATTATTAATTAAATAGTATCTTTTATAATTATTATAAACCGTACTATTTAATAAAATATAACGTTTTTTAAAAAGTATTAAAAATATTAAAAAGCTTATAAAACCGCTTTTTTAAAAATTTTTATTATTATTAAAAATAATAACCGCTACGACGTTTTTAAAATAATTTTTTAAACGGGTTTTGCTATCCTTTTAGTTTTTTTAGCGTACGCTTTTAGCGTTATTAATTAATTACCTTTTTTCTTTATATTTAGTTTAAATATAATTAAAAGCTAATAATATAACTCGGTTTTTTATTTTAACCGCTTTTTCGTTTATAAGCTCTTTTATATATTTAAAAGCTTTTATAAAAGTTTTTTAAACCTTTTTATAATTTTATAAAAATTAACAATAATCTTTTTTATATAAATAAATTTTAAATATCGTTTTTTAGTTATTAAACTTATCCGAGCGTTTTTTAAAAATAGTAAAAAGGCTAAGGCCCTTATTATTATTTTTTAAAAGCTACTCTTTTTAATAAAAAATTCTAAAAATCCGTTTATATTCTTCTAAAATTAAGATAGGGCGTTTAAAACTCTTGTTTATAATAAGCTCGTTAAGTACTTACGTTATTTAAATTAATACAAAGCGGGTTTTAATAGTTTTAAAAAAGCTTTTTATTATTAAAACCTTTTAAACTTTAAATATATTATAAGCTTAAGATCGCCCGTATATTTTATATTAATCAGAATATTAAATAGTTAAAAAACGTTATTTTAAAAAGCTTTTAAAAATACGTTATTATATTCTTTATAAATTATTAAAAAAATCGTAAATTTAAAAGGTATTAAATTACGTTTTAATATGCGTATAAGCTTTTAAAAATTAATTTTATTTTTATATAGGAGTTTTATTTAAACGTTTATAAGCTTTTAT